CGAATGGTTTCTTCAGGAACATGCAAGAAATCCTCAATTTACATCGCAAATACTTGTTACAGATGAAGCATGTTTCAGTCGAAATGCTGTACGTAACGTCTACAACACTCACTGGACTATCGAAAATCCACAGGAAATACGTCGCGGTGCCTTTCAGCAACAGTTTTCAGTGAACATTTGGTCCCCGACCTCACCCCTTTCAATTCCTTTTTGTGGGGATACGTGAAAAATGTTGTGTATTCCACGGAAGTTCGCGACATCGTATTACCGAAGTTTGTAATACGAATCGAGAGGACGTGGCAATGTGGCAACGCGTGCGAGCGAATTGGATACGTCACGCTGAAGCTTGTGTGCAAGCAAATGTGGGTACATCGAACATCTTCCATGAAAATCAGCACTTCTCAAAACGTGGCTCCTTGCAATGTTGAAGTAAGTCAGATTTTAAAATTACATTTTACTCAACACGTGTACGTGTATTTTGACATAATGGAGATGTGGCAAAAATATTTGACATAAGTACATTAACACCCTGTATTTGCCGTATAATACAGATGTTACATTGCTTATATTTATTGTATTTTAATAAAATCGAGGAAACATCGATAAAGTGTGGTAGTTGTTTTTTGTTATATTTCCTGATCTAACCCAAATCCAAAAAAAAAGGAAAAGTTAAGAACCAGAGGATACCAACTAAATGCTTAAAGAAATAATTGTTTTTTAAATGATGTACAATATAAAATGTTTGATATGCTTAATTTCTATCTACAGAAAATATTTCACGGGTGTTTAAACAGTAATTATGTTCCTATTGTTGTACTGGGTAGGTTCGATAGATGTTATCTAGCTATGACAGCGTGAATTTACGTGTAGGTTTGTTTTCGGTACCGAAACGAAAAGCTGTTTAGTCCTTCCAGCTCAATTCACAATATGTTTCGTCAAAGGATTGCTGACACACAACAAAGTGATTGGCTAGCAGGATAATGAAACGTTTATGAGCTTGGCAGTATGTTACACCACAGCAAGCTGTCTTCTACAAATTTATAACGTAAAAAGGAATAAACGAATTTAAAAGATATATACAGTCTAAGAACTCTCTTTTACACAATTTTATAAAAGATTTACAGAAACAGCAATTTTATAAATAATATTAAAGCAAACTAAATTGGGATAGCAAAGGGTGGACGAAATTTAAAAAAATAGAGATTGACGATATACAGGAGCTTCCGATGAGGTTCGTCCTGCTGCAGACTTTGAAGATAAGATAATTTGAATCAGTTTAGGTATACTACGACGTTCTCTAATATAGCTCCAAAAAACTGTTTTAGCTAGAGACTTTTTATTTGCTAGACATCTTTGTTTACTTAAATGTAAAATATACAGCGTTAATGCTTCAGTTTAGACTTCTTCTCAAGTAACTACAAAAGGACTTCAGGAACATCTGTAGTCCAAAATGAAATTTTGTGGGAAATATTAAATGGCATATTAGACAGACTGGATATTTCATTAACAAGATTAAGCGAATCCAAATAGATCATCAGCTACACCACGGAAAAGGAAATAAATGTTACCCTGCCGTTCCTAGATCGTTTTTATAGGAAAAAACTGGATGGCATGGTATAAGATATAATATAGTGTATACAGAAAGTCTACCCATGCGGATAGATATGCTGATTCTAGGTATTATTAACAAATTAGTATACCAAAGGCGTGCCATCTGAGATCCGAAACACTTAGGTGACGAATCACAGCACCTACGATCTGCTCTTAGATAAAGGAGCTGAAATATTGGACGAGCCATCAAAAGCATACTTAAGGACAAAGAAAATGAGGAAAATTTGGAGATCTATCTGCTCTATATATGAGTACAATAATATTTTAACAAAATAGACTGATTGTGAGTGCTAAGGAGACACAATAATAACTGGTATTTGTAACACCCCAAGACAAACTTCAAAAACGATCTACTCGAAGGCTTTCGTGTATGCAAGTGTATGGGGTTAAAGGAGCATAAGTATAACTTGAATAATAACACCATAGAAAAGTCAGTTACGGAGCGCAGAGTAGATATATGGCAAACAATAAATTTAATTAATACTAGAAAACACTGATTGATGAACATCACCTACCAACCAGAATCTTAGTGTCCAATTATATAGTTTCGTCTACAGAAGAGAGTGACATTTCTCTCGAAATGACAAGTCTTACTGTAAGTTTAAAGCAGACATGTTGTACTGGATGATGTAAATTAGATAAGCATTGGCGTACATACATAAAAATTAAAGGGAAGGGGGGGGGGGTCAAATGAGTGGGACCCCTAGAAAATAACACGCTGTATGATATTTTTTACGTGTTTATGGAATATATTATAAGCAAATAAACAATACCAAACAAGAAAATTCCAGCTAAAACAGCTTTAGAGTTGTATTAAAAAGTATATATTTATCACAAAAGTTTGTTGACGAACTATGCATCCTAAAAGGATAACGGCTTTAATAAATAGTATTTATTAGCATACAATTCCATACAAACAGGTTAGATTAAATACTTCAAATACTAAAGTGAAAAGGAAAAGTGGGACTTGACTCCTGCATTTTTGTCACTTTAAAAAGTATTATTTTTGTGTTCACTCATGGTTGATCACATAAATTACTTCTACCATGTTGGTTCATTTTTTCTTATTAGAACGAAAAGCAGCAGTTCTACAAAACCGCCATTTACACCCTTTGTGTTGTTTATCTGCATCTTTTCCAAAACACAACTATCTAAAATAACTATAAATCATCACTTCATACAATACATATCGATTCTGAAAATTGAGAAGGTAAACAGTATTTTAATAAGAAAATTCCCATTCCTTGTTGTCTTTTAACTGACTACAAACCTCTTAAAATTAAATTCTCTTCTATGTGTCTGTTTTGACAGAGACACTGAGTCTCCAAACACTGAGAGAAACAACAAACAGAGATATCAAAGACACAACATTTTAAACTGTTTAGTTCGCTCTGCATCAGGGTAATAAATACTTCCAGAAAATTTACATTTTCCACTCCGCAAATATTATACCCTTTATAAACGAGCACCTATTTGAACACGTCTTACAACATCAACAAACGTTATTACAGTTGGATTAAATAAACATTTGGAATGGATGTACGCGTTTATTTGTCTCGCTTCTGAAAGGAAATGAAACATTTATAACACAATAACCGGGGCGCTTTCCCCAGAAAGCAAACATTAGCGGAATGTTTTAATTTATGGGATTTTAAATTTAAGGAACTGTTTCTGTTAAATTACTAACTACAGTCGCGGAATATGCTGGCGAAAGTATTGTTTTAATTAAATACAATATATTAATTTCTATGCCTTCCACCATAATTAAGACCGCAGATAAGGGGAGAACAGGCTGGATTTAATTAGTTTGCCTTTATAGGTCATCAGCGTCTATGCGGTATTGGCAATGGGCTCATTCTGTAATATTTAATTCAAGATTTGCTTTACGTTTTCCTTAAATACTTAACCTCTCAAACATATGATGACAAAATATATTAATAATAATGCATAATTCGTAAAATATTTGTTAACAGACCATTCGTAGTACATCTGTGAGATCACACTGAAATGAACAGACAAGTGAAAAAAAAAAGAGATTTATGCTAGTACAGGTTTAAAAATGTACCCGTTCCGATGATTGCTGAAGTTATTTTGTGAAAAAAGTTCATATAAACATAGGTCGAAATATGCGCCCTTTCCGAGATACAGAGTAATTAAATTTTAATTTTTTATTTATTTTTGTCAATTATTTCAGTCTTAAAGATATTGACTCCAAATTTGAAAAACGGTTTGGAGGGATAAATGTGCATTTTTTGGGGTGATCCGAATATTTCTACCTGCACCAGTGGCGTTCGTGCGAGAATACCACAACCATTTTTTTAATAAAAAAAATCGTACGCCATTGACTTTTTCCCGTTTTGATATTTTTTTAGAAATTCGCCATCAATTCTGAATGAAATTGGTTCGTCTTTTTTTTCGAATATTTCTAAATAAAAGGCAATCATCAAATTTCGAGTCAATATCTTTAAAATTCTTTGACATAATCAATAAAAATAAATAAAAAAATAAGATTGAAACACTCTGTATCTCGGAACGTTTATGTGAACTTTTTTCACAAAATAACTTCGGCAACCACCCCCTAAAATATTTCGCACTTAATTACAAACACCCTATATATTTTTTAAGTCACATCTTAAGAGTTTCAGATTTAATATTTCACAAAAATATTTTAAATACTTTTAATGAATATTTTCAATGTATTCAATATTCAATCTACTAAAATACTATTTTTAATACCCAGTAATTTATATTTAAAATACTGTGCCAAAGAAATATTTTCTATTTTAAATAAATTTCGAAAATATTTTGCCCAGCTCTGATTTAATAATTTATATTAATTGGGTAATAAAGTATATAAATTATTTAGAAAATGTGCTAAATAAAAAAGCTGCTGATGTCAACCAGACGTTTTTATGTCAATGTTAAAATTCGTAAACGCTGTTTTTAAAAATAATGACCAACGAAACGTATATCATCCTGTATATTATTTATATTTAAACATAATACTTTTTCAAGATTACAATGAAGAAAGAGATGGCCCTATTATTATTCCGGTATGTCCTAATAGCAATATTTTTCTTAAAATTCAATAAACAAACAAACAAACTTCGTACAACTCATCAAACTTTATTTCGCTGTAAGTTTGAAAAAGTATTCTATTCAAATGTGAAATAATAAACTGAATATTCTATAAAAAAAACAAAGGTTTTGTTTGTCACGCTTTTTAAAATAAAAGTCGTTTGATAGACTATCCATAACGAATATTTTTTGTAGGTAATAACTTTGTTCGTATACAAAAAGTATGTGGGATAGGCTTTGCATGCTCGTCCCACATCAATAACGATCATAGGACCGCCGATAAATTGCAAGAAAATATAAATTACACACACCTGAAGTACATAAGACAAACAACGGAGTGGAGCAGCATGTTCACCAGATGATAGCCCATCGGCTCTAATTGCCAGAGCAAATAGTTCCAGCGGAACGTGAGCACACACAGGGGCCGGTAAGATTTGTGACTTTGTTCCTGAAACAAGAAAATAAAACGTGAGAAAAATAGGTTATGCACATAAGGCAAATTAGCGGCTTGTTTGGAAAAAAACGCACAAAAATAGCTATTTATACAACGTGGTATAAAGTAACACTTGTCTCAGGACTAAGAATTTTATCCCACAGTACTAATAATAAGAGTAAAGAAAATTATTATTATTTATTATACATGAGCTGCATACAGTTTTTATTATTATCTAAAAGTATGTAGTATAAAGGGTCTCCCTTAATTTGACTGTCAATTTCTACAAGGTTACCTTGGTAAAATTAAGATATAAACTTTCTTAAAAAGTTGGAAGTTTGAAGAACAATTCTTAGTTTCGTGTCAAGATAAATAATAAATATAACGTTTCACTAACAATTTTCAAGAAGGCTGTCATGACTGAGAATTACAAAGACAAAAGTTATAAACAACGAGTCCATTCTTAGGAAGGTGTATTAACTTGAACATGACAAATATCAATCATAAAAATATATTGCGTAGAACCAACTTTGTCATAAATAAAATAATTGATAAAAAAATGAATATTTCTTTTGGTTTCTTGCTACAATCTTAGTTCACATTATCCGAGACAAAAAAATCGACGACTATTTTTATCAAGATGGCTATGAGAGAGTGGGATGTAAAGAAAATGAATTTGCCAACTAGTGTGATTTTACATGTATTGTATTGCTGTATGCTCAAAGTAATGGAAAAAATAACTGTTTATAGAAAGTATGGTTTTGAGTTTTCTAATGCAACCAAAAGGTCTAACATACATATTTAATAGGTATATTACATTTGATTTCTCTTCTTTATATTCTTACACAATAAAATTTATCACCGACCGATGGCATGCGCAAATATAAGTAAACTCAATCCGATCTGACGAGCCCCACAAGCTCGAGACAGAGAACCCAGAAATTGGGATCGTTTTTCCCCAATAGGGGTAGTACGCAAGGGTTTCTGTCTACGAAACCATCGCCATCGTTTTTCTCACCATCAAAAACAGAGGGGGTGAGGAGGAATGTCTTTCAAAAGACCCTACAAACTTTCAAGTTTTGGGACCTCGTTAAATGGACTAATATTTGTGTACCCTTGTTCTTGTTCTGGCACTCAAATAATGACTATGTCAAAGTGACGTTTACACCAAATGGAAATAATTTTAAAAAAATTGTTAAAGTTTTGGAGATTACTATGTTACACTTTTAAAAAGTTCTTTATATTAACGTTAATTAATTAATTATCTACATCTACATTATTTGATATATATTGTTGTATTATTTGGCAGAGACCTGAGCATTTTCGAGATTATACATAAATTTTATAAATACCGATAAATATATTTGAATATAAATTTAAAACCTCATAACACTGCTGGATTAACATGTACGGCTAACCATAAAAGTTTAACATGAAAATAAACTTTCCGCTTTCCCAACAATTTGCAGTTAAAATATGTTGTCAAACACAAATATCAACTCTGGCAGCTTTTACCTTTTTGAGGAATATAAAATAAAACAAAAGTATAATCAAATTTCCGAAAATAAATTTAAAACATAAAGTTCGTTCTTAATTCCCAAAGTTCCAACTCTATTACGTTTTATCTGCACTTTCCATATTTGAATTATATCCTCATCTGAAAATATCCTCAGGAAATATAACTTCATTCCTCTTGTAGCGAAGATCTATCACTATAAAGTCTTTATTATGAAAATACGAAATAAAATAGGATAAGCTGTATAGAAGCGGAGCCTCGTGTTTTATTATTAATGCAAAATAACCGCGTACATTGTAATATAGAAGCTGCTGAATCTCGACGGAAATATATTGTATATTGTATGAGTAACGGTTAAACTTATTCTCAAACAGCATTTTCAGCAACAATAAGTCCATTATAGTAATGTACCTTACACAGGTGAAGCACTAATATTGTTATATGGTTAGAATACCTCTTATAATAGATAAATGCTTTTTATTATAGACATTTTCATAAAAGTATTTTCAATTTTCTAGCGCAAGAGAACAAAATTGTCTTGTGTAAAGAGATAGCTGCCAATTACATTATGTAAATAATAAGTGTGTAAGAGGTTAAATTATACAGTGTGTTGTTATGTACGTGGACAAACTACAAGAGGCTATTCTCTGAGTGATTTTAAGCCAATACAGAGCCACCTAACCAATCATTTTATTTCCTTCGCGTTGACAAATTCTGATAGAATTAAAATTTACTAAAACAATAAGATAATTTTTCACGACAATCAGCGATATGATTATCTCGAGATATCTCTGCGTAGACGCAAGGGTTTCTTACTATTTATTGTAAACGAATCATTATGAACGATGACGCTATATTGACATTATTTGTGCATTTTTCAGTGGCGTCCGTCGTTCGTGTCTGTTTTCGATAGATTTCATAAGGTACCTTTATTGTAATGGTTCATTTTCGAAGCGGAACTCGAAATGAAGACGGGTCATGGACATACTCTTTACAATGCTGCATTGAACAATTCAACAATGACGAAATTTCAAAACGCAAACATTGACTATGACACTTTAATGAACTGGAAATTTGCTACTGTCAGCAGATTTGAAACCAAACACTGCATTTGTAAAGAAAAATGTACGGGCAGACCAACTGTATTTACAGAAAATGTCATCGATAATATACAGCAATGAATAGGTAAATCAAATGTCTACAAAGTCTTACAACTACATTTACACCCATACAAGGTAACTGTTGTGGTCCCATAGACTATGGAAAACGATTGCCTTACTGCGAGTGGTATAGAAAATATGAGTAATAATTTGTTGGTCTTATAGTTTTTTACTGACGAAGCATGGTTTTCAGGTTATGTAAATAGCCAAAATTATAAAACCTGGACTGCATAAAATCTTCATACATTTGTAGAAACCGGTTTACATCCCTTAAAACTAGAAGTTTGGGAAGCGATATCAAGAATACAACAGAACAACAAATGCAAAATGTGTATGAAAATACGCATAGAAGAGTAAATTTGTGTATGGCTAGTGAAGGACATAATTTTGAACATATGTAATATTTTTATCACAAATATGGAATCCAGCTACTAATTTATGAATTTGAATTTATTTTATATTGCAGCGAAGAGGAATGGTTTATAAATTAATGTAACTTTTTCGTAATGCTATTTTATCTATAATAAAAAGTAAACTGTCTATGTTTGTTTTACTCGTATTTAAATAAAAAATAAACTGTTATAGATTCACATCATGTTCTTTTTGCTTCCATAGTAAAAATTTGCAATTTGCTCATTATTAACAATTGAAGTTTGATAGTTTTCTCCTGTTAATAAAGTTAAAAGCATTTTAACGAAAAAAAGTTTGTTTACTACAATACTCGTATATGTACCTATTAAGTTTAATATCAATAGATCATGTCAATCAATTTTAACTAGATGTAACCCCCGCAACCACTCCACTGATTGTGAGGTTTAAGGATTTTCATTTGATCATACCAACCGTGAATTGTTGGTTGTCTATGATCGACGGTCACATGGCTTCTAAACAAAAAGGCTCTGTACAACTACAAAGTATGGCGTGAATGAAATATTTGTCACTGTCATAAACAAAATAAATTTCTTAAAAATAGCGGTTTTCAGTACATTTTTGTGAAAATTTACCGGAATAGAAAGTTAACTAAATTTTGAACATAAAACAATAGATCAGTAGATTAAACGTGAAGTCAGTAGGTCAAATGAAAAATCAGTAGATCCGCTGGCACTCAGCATGAGAAAAAATTAGTTTTGACTTCTATATTTGTAAATTTTGCTATATACATGACATGAATGTCAATTTTTTTAATGAGCTTTGGCGTCATTTATTTATTATATAACTTTCTATAAAGGAGTATCTTTAATAAAAATGTTTTATATCCTCCAATATATTTCTTTTCCAGTGTAGTCGCAGTTCTATAATTCGTTTTAGAACTTTTTTTCTCCAGAATTTGTTAGTATTTTTCTAAAGACAGCAAATAAATCTAATGAAAAAAACAGTGATCAGATGCCTCTTCATTGAAATAAAAATTTTAATTCTTTTCCATTTTATCAGTTGTATCTACTCGAGCTTATTATTATTCTTGATACTCTCAACTATCAATAATTTCTCCCTGCTGAAATTTATCAGGCTTGATTCTAGTTCTAACATCATAGCCGGCTAAAATCCGCTTAATTATTCCACTATCATATGAATATTCATAGGGCAATGTCAATCATACATAATAACAGTTAATGGCTATTTTAACGTAAGAAAAAAGGCTGAACAACGTCGCCATTCATATTCGAATTTCATAAAGAAAGGCATCCAGACCCATTTCAACATGTTTATAAACTGAATGCCAGCAGCGGTATCTCCACTGAAGGCAGCTTTGACGGGCAATGGACTGCATACACATTTTGTCCAAATGAGCGTATACATGTGCACGAAGCAGATAAATTATTACATTCCTCCCGTATGAAGGATAGCTGGCATTCAAACTATTGTCACTACAGACAATTGACCGTACAAATGTGAGCCCTCAAGCATGACAACTGTATCAGTTTTCGACTAGCGTAAGAGTATTTGACAAAAACACTGTTCAGATGCAGTTAGTTGTTGGAGAGATATAGGCATCTGTTCCGTTTGACAGCGTCCTTCGCCATTGTTATTAGTTGGATTCAATTGTATTAGATATAAAGTAACAAAGTAAAATTGTTTCTGATGCTACTTAAGCGGTGGTGGTCTATAAACACAAGAACTAGAGGCCGACCGATTAATCGGCTTCGGCATCGGCTTCGGTCACATTCGGCCATTATTTAAACCTTCGGCTAAGAATCGGCTTCGGCCAAAATTAAGCCGAACTTTTCGCCGAATCCGAAGGTACCATTTGGGACGCCGCTGGACTTACCAAATCTAATCAAATTAGGGTTAAATTAGCCCCTTAAAACTACAAATAACAATGGCAAATTACAACTAAATTGGGTAAAGGGTGTTTATATATATCTTGAAAACGAAGCATCTGCGGATCAATGTTTATATAAACTTTTTGTATTAAAATCACTCAAATAATCGTCTGTTGAATTTATTGTACATACTTAATTAACACCCTATATATATTATATTTTCAAAACATTATGCATTTATTGTTTACCTACTTTTCTGTTATCTTATCATAATTTTGTTATAAATTAACATTTTCATGTTAATAAAAATATCTTCGGCTTCGGCCCAAGGTGACCCATAAACCGAAGTTCGGCTTCGGCCAAAAAAAATCACGTTCGGTCGGTCTTTAACAAGAACCTAAGATTACACAGGCACACAGAAGCAAAAGTGCAAATTCAAGAGAGCCACATAGCATTTCTGAAGGACTTCGATGCGCTGATC